TAGGCCTTCCTATGCAAAAAGTGGATAGCCCATAACAGTCATATGTAAACATTTCCCATAACCACCTCACAATTTTTACACACATTCCTTCAGAAGGGAAGAGGCACTGGATGATGTCCGTTACTTCCTCCCAGCACATCTAGATATTTTGCAAACACAGTGGCATGACCTTGCTCCTCAAATACAAATCCTATTCCATAAACTTGTTTATGGATCTTGGAGTCCCACTGTCCTCAGCGAGGATACAGGTACACTGAAGAAAAATTCCCCTTCTCCACATTTTCATCTCTATTTAGCATTAGCTTGTAAATGGGGAAAATACTTATAATTTGATCATCTTTTGTACATTATAGCTCTACTAGCATATGTTTTTGTACTGGTTTTGGCTGGGATAAGAGTTAATTTTCTTCATAGTAGCTAGTATGGGGTGATGTTTTGGATTTGTGCTGGAAATGTTGATAATACAGGGATGTTTTTGTTACTGCTGAGCAGGGCTCACACAGAGTCAAGCCCTTTTCTGCTCATCACACTACCCCACCAGCGAGTAGGCTGGGGGAGCACAAGAAGTGCAGCCAGGACAGCTGACCCCAACTGACCAAAGGGATATTCCACACCATATGACATCATGCTCAGCGTATAAAGCTGGGGGAAGAAGAAGGAAGGGGGCCCTGCTTTCCTGGAGATGGCTGAACACCTGCCTGCCAATGGGAAGCAGTGAATGAATTCCTTGTTTTGCTTTGCTTGTGTGGACAGCTTTTGCTTTATCTATTAAACTGTCTTTGATTCAACCCAGGAGTTTTCTCACTTTTACCCCTCAGATTCTCTCCCCCATCCTGCTGGGAGGGAGCAAGCAGCTGTGTGGGGCTGAGCTCCCTACTGGGGTTAAACCACAACAGTTTTCCATAGTAAAAGGAATTTAAAATCAACATTACTGTGTTTTAAATGGGTGAACGTTGATTTAAATAAAAGTGGGCAGGAGATGGGAGCAGGAACATTGGTTTAGATCTGAAAAGGCATTTCTGAATGCAATTTCCACTGAAGTCAGCACAAGCACATTTCCCCCTCTGTGCTAAGGAGCAGGATTGCTAAATCCAAGTATATTCTGAGAAAGTCCCCAAGTGATCGTTGTATTAGAAATGATGCCATCCAGAAAAATCTTCTTAAATCAGACATGAGGATGTAAGGGCCTGTTCAAGAACCAAACTGGAAAGCTACAGTATAATAACAATTTGCATTTCATTATAACCTATTTCATTTACCTATCTACTGACCATGCTTACATGCCTTCCAATTCATTTTCATACTGCTGATAGGTCACCTAATTTCACACTGGCCTCTCCTGCTATCACAGGCTCCTTTTTGAAGTATAGCACTCTTAAACCTATGCTTCAAGTCCCTTCTGATAACCCTCTGCTGCCATTCTTTCCTATGCAAAACTCCTTGACAAAATAAAAACTATTCATATGAATTTCTGCAGACAGGCATGGCTAACGTTAAATAAACAGAAACCTTTTCTGGTGCCTTTGTTCATAGGGTAGGATTCAAAACTTACTGAAATTTGTGACTTTTTCAGTTGACTACTTATTTCTACTTCAGAAGCATGTATGTACAAATATGCATATATTTAAATTCCAGACTATGTAATACCAGTTGGAGCAGGTTTTTAACTAAGTACTGATTTACCAGCACTTGTGGATCATCTCAAGGGCCCATTGATATCAGTGGAATTACACCATGTGTACAAGGTGCAACAACAGCTCTAAGAAATCTTTGCCTCAAAAACCTCAATGTGTATTTTTTAAATTAATGCAACAGTTGGAATCATTTTCACAAGCCAGTCTGCCATTCCAGTTTCCAGAGTATTACAGCTGCTTGGATAATAGCACATTAACAGCTGTCTGTGAATGGCAGAATATAAAAATCTCAAACAACACATTAAGGACACTACACATGCAATTAATATATATGCTTAAAGAAGTCTGCTGGTAGAAAAATATTTGTACTAGGGAAGAAAAGTGACCTATCATGAGAGAAGCAAGCTGTACTGCCAAAATTTAAGACTTTTAACTACTACTTCCCTAGGAGCTTTTACTGACTCAGTTAATGGTCATCGCCCTGCTTTCTCTGCATGCATGCTGGACACAGCTATACCTGCAAAAGGCTGTACATAAGCCTGGTTTCAGTGTGTAATTGTCATAGCATTGCTTCTCTTCAGAAGGTGGCGTTTCAGACTTACAGCCATAGCTGTACAGCAAAATGTTAGAGGTAGAAGATGAGACCACAGCCTATTAAAATGGATACACTAAAAGTGAAGGGATATTCCATCCTTAGGTAAGGAAATGCATAGCCTGTAGTTTAGGTGGGACTGAACTCCAGATTAGGACGCCTAGGTTTAAATGTCTGCATGGATACTATGTGTCAAAGCTGCCATGGAGCTCTGGGGCCTATTGGTTTAACAAGTCTAGCACCCTTCCAGATCCCCTGCCAAGCACGTCCAGCTCTCAGCTGTCACAATCAAAGAATGGGAGTGTCTCACACGTCTTCAGTCATTTTTGCCAGCCCAGTATGGCCATCTTGCATTCCCCATCGACACTTCCAATGGCATTGTCTATTTGTAGGCAGGGGAATCCCACTCCCCGTTGATGCACCCAGTGACGTTTAGGGTACAGCTCTGATCAAAGGCAGGTGTCTACTTCACAGGTGAAGTGAACAACTCTCCAGGATCCATTGACTCCATTCACTGCAAGAGGAGCAAAAGCACCTTCTTCACCTATACGCAGATTCTTAAAGTAGGTGAATTGTTCTGAAGCTCAATCCTATGTGCAGAGTTTGATTCAGTTGTCCATAAACAGGCATGAAATGCCATTTGAGAAGACATATCATTAAGGCTGGCAAATATGACACGGGACCTACCACAGATGTGTGCCTTTCTGAGCAACAGCTGGAGGCCATGTAAATTATTCTAAGGCATCTAGAACGGCTTCAAGCGCTTTTCTTTGTGTGAGCAAATGAACTAAGCCCTTTTAACAGCATCTTAAGAATTCTACAAGAATTAATCATATTTTTAAAATAATATGGCTTTTTATTAATATTGCCATAGCTTATGGAAGCTTCAAGAAATTGTTAAACTTGCTCACAACAACTTAGAATATCGGTGTTTTATTACATCAAGACAATTAAGTAAGATCAGTCTACTTCAGCCAGCCTTTTTAAGCAACCTTTCATCTTCTGGTGCTCTCCTCTAACAATGGACCTTTTTGCCCCAAAACTGGTCTTATAAGGCAAGCCTTTTACATGTCTCAGTTTCTACTTAAGATAATGGTACTCAAGAAAGCACATGGCTGCTATGTGGCTAAGTGTCATATTTAGGTTTCTCCATTGCAAAAAAAAAAAAAGAATTTAAATTTCATTCTGTTTTTTTCAAAAAAATATTCCTATTTTTAAAAAAAAATCTCTAGGTACCATTTGCCCCTTAATTTTGAAGAACAGTTAAATTTAGTATCAGTACATTCCTTTTAGCAGTTAGTTATTCTTGTTGCAATAATTTTCTCCTTGAAATTGTAAATACTATGTAAATACTCCTTGAAAGCAATCTCTCAGTAACTATATTGTACCTTTCAACTAAAGCTAAAATAATTTCAAAATTTTAATGACAGATCTCTATGAGTTAAATAAATGTTACACCATTATGAAGAAAGCTAAACTGAAATATGAACACTAATACTGATATTTTACTGAAAGTCAGAAACTTAAATCCACATGTGGACATCTGCACAAATGGTCGGGGCTTTCGCATCTGCCGCTCCCTAAAGCCTATGGCAGCTGCAGGCTGTGTAATATGTTTGACCACTTAGGTAGCACCTCAGCTCATGGACCAGAATCCCTTCATGGTAGGTACCATACAAACACTGAGTAGAAAAACAGCTCTGAACCTAAACAATAAATAGAAACGACGTACACGAAGTCTGGAGAGGTTGCAGTAAGGGTAAGGCTTTTGAGTTAAGCTCTAAAGGGTTGTCAAAAAAAGAATGAAAGGAAATAGAGGCAAGAGAAAGAAGAAGAAGTACACTTTTCACCTCTATATCTAGAACTGACTACAAAACAAGATTAGATTGGTTTAGTTAACTAAAAGGTACAGAATTTCAACTGAGGTCTGCCTGGAGAAAAGTGATAAATTAGGTATATTGGCTTGACATATTTGAAGTAATAGAGTTTTATACTAGTGATTATATAATAAGAAATTTGTTCTGGCATTATAGTCATGTTCAGGCTGAGACTCCTACCCAAAGCTCCAAGAACACCCTTGCTTCCTCATAACCTAATATCTAAAATGGCAGCAAGATTTATCCCTAATGGACTGGCCACTTTCTCTTCCTTAATCTCTTAAAAGCTATGAAAAATGTCATCACTGAAGTTCTCTTATTTTTGCTAAGTTTATGAAAAATTGGGCTTTGTATTTCTTTTGTCAAATATTTGTATTCCATTAGTTTTAATTAATCTACTGTACTCTACATTTATTGTTTTGAGCAAACATTTTCATTACCAAATGAATAAAATTACTTTGTTTTTATGGAACTGGTTCCTAAAAAAATCTTTAGTTCCATGCTCTGATGTTTGGGAATCAACAATGTGTTCAACATCTCTGAAAATCAGGGGGATTCAGATGTGTATTACAAAGTCTATCTTAGGGTAATTTGTCCAGAGTCACTCACTAAAGCAATACCAGGTTTACAGTTATTGTCATGCACACTTTTTTCCCTAAAATTTTGTGTGTCTTATAGATTCAGATTTAGGTCTCTACCTGCAAGTACTTTCATCAAAAAAATTGTGTGTCTTGATTTCCAGTTATCTACAAATATATGTAGGAAGATTATTTTTCAAAGTAATAATGAAATTCAAAAGGAACAGAGAAATGCCATGACAAAAAGCTGTATTTCAAATCTTGCTAATCTAATTTAAATAACAAGTGTAAGTGAAAAATATAAGCCACAGTTACTCACCTACGATGAGTAAGAAAACTACCACTGACATGTCCTGAGCCATCACATCCTGGGGTTGGACATGACATTCCTTCCGTCTTCACTGACTTCCAAGAGAACTGTGAGCCATTTAGGTACCCATCCTTTTGCCTTTTGGCAGCTAGAGGACACCCTGACGCACTGCGATGGGATGCATATTTTCCAGTTATATGACCCTGACCATCACAACCAGGAACTGGACATCTGGATAGCAGATAGATGAGATAAACTTTATTGTCTTGCCATCATATACCTGGTAGCCTCTACAACAAAGTCAAAATAAACCCGACATGAAAAGAAAAGAACAATCATGCACTGTGGTCTCAAAAATAGTCAAGATACCCTTTAGTGGGTAAAATTACAAGCAGAACTTCGCTAATATGAAAAAAAAAAGTGCATTCAACAACTGTAAGGAGGCTAGCCAGTAGATGAAGTCACAGCTGTTGATATTGTGCGATTGCAACAAAAGGACTAAGATATATATTTGAATTGCAGGTGTTCATTACAGTAAATATCACACTGGAATTGAAATGTTGGCTACTGAGCTCCACGCAGCAGGGAAATTATCCATAAAAACTCTATAAGCATAAAATCCTACTTAGTATAATCCTTGGTACATTTTATTTATGTGTATGGAATCTAAAGAAGACTTGTCTGAAGTCATGAAAATGTTAGGTATAAACAGTTAGGTATGAAGTGATCATAGGGCCTCATCAGAAATGCTGAGCACCTTTAACCACTCTCTGAATAGGAGAGATTGTAACAAACTATGCGCTACAGCCTAGAGATATCAATGAAGGCAGTTCCGTATTCATCTGATGGTTTTCCTTACTTGGGAATTCCCCCATACATTTGCCCTGTATACTTCTAAAAAACAAATAACCAGGGTTAGAAGGAACAGGTTATAATCTTCAGAGTGAAATGTTTTAAGAAAATAATGTTTTTTCAGTACACTGCTACATAACACATGTCAAAACAAGGCCGGTTACTTCAGTGTTTGTCCTACACTAAAATATTGCTGCAACGCTCCACTGAGGATCCAGTCCTGAACGGTCTAAGCAGTCACTAAACCCGCTGAGTTCGGTGGCCACTGGTATCAGAGCACCTTGCAAGAAGAAACCAAGACCTATAGGTAGGCATTTGTTCCTCTTGCAAACTGCATAAACAGTCAGATTTGTTGCAGCAATCTCATATAAATACTCAGTTCCCATAACTACTTTATTTAGCATGTATGGTTTGTCTATAGTATGCAAACACGTTTAGGGTTTTTTAGGAGATAAAGATCTACATAATTTTTTAATTTCATGTGAAAAACACATTTAAAACTGTTTCTAAATTATAGAAGATTGTATCCTTGGCTAGAATAAGTCAGCACAGAACCTTGATTTGCAGTTCACTCATAGAAATCAATGTGGCCATCTGCTCTTGGATAACTATCACACAATAACACTTATGCCTTAATAAAAAGCTGAAGATATGTATGACCTTATAAAGCACATGAAGGCCCTTTGACAATATTTGTTCTCACCTAATTGGCTCTTGGTCTTCTTTGTCTTCCTTGCTTTGTGCTATCCTGATTCCACTTTTCTTTGCTCGCGGACAGCCTGAAAGACTGAGTGAAAGAAAACATTTAAAAATGCAATTTCTCATTCTTGGGTACAGTTTACAAGGGATATGCTTTCTATCTGAAAAACTGGCAGAATAGGTAATCCTGTCCAGTTTCCAAAATCAAAGCTCAGGCGGTTTAAATAAGGAGAGCTGCAGTATGCAACCACGAGGGGGAATCCGTGTATCTCAGATTGCGATGCAGGACAGGACTGCAGGCACTGTGCAAACCACACGCACAGGCAGTCCCCAAGGAGCCAGGGAAAGCAGCTCTTAAACTCTCTGCCTAATAATCCCTCCAGCTGACTCAGCAGCAGCAGCGACAACTTTAAAAGGAATAGAAGCCAGTGTTTCAGGGCTGTGAGACGTTACGTCCTCTGTATGTCTGAGCGGGATGGAAGAATAGGCTCAAAAAACAGGAGTCTTTGGGTCTCTTGGTAGGAATAAAGATTTCTCTAGGGAGCACATTAGAAACACTATCAAACCTTCTCAATCGTCATGTAAGAATTGTACAGAACAGTTGAATAAAAACATGGCAGAGCTCAGAGCTGTACAATGCCTTCCTGAGAAAGAGTTTAAGTGCTCAGAACTCCCCAAGACAAAAAGATTTGGTAGAGACAAAGTTATACATTAGGCTAAGCAATGTTACATTTAACTAGACACTAAGAATGTTTTTAACTACAGAAGATGGAAAAAGATATAACTATTCCAAGATTTTATAAGCTCAGCTTTCCCTTTGCATATGAAGAATTCATTATAGAAACCATTTAGTAGACTTGACAATTACTTTAATAGATATTTAAAGATTTTTTTAAGTAGTTGCTATCCGAGGACATAAATATGTCTATCAAAAAATCATGCTTTGTCCTCTATTTAAATGTTATTTCCATCTTAATATATCAACATCAAAAAAGAAATCCATCAGTACAACACCACCTTCAAAAGTATTGAGACGACAGACAAAGTAGTGTCACCAAAGAAAAATCTCTATAGAGAAAGAAACAAAATAGAGGATTAAATTTTTGTTTTCAGCATGACAAAAGGTACTTCAGTGTTGTATAGTAGGTCCTGTCTTCAGGAAGAAGAGACAGAAACAGTGGTAGCAAAATTTTCAGTTATTTTGTCTTGTCAAGAGCAGCAAGGACTGGGAGGAACAAGCAGAGAAAAGGGTGATGCAATCACAGACAGAATTCTGTGTTGGTAAATGAAAAATAGACAACAATAGAGTTTACATGCTGCAAAGTCATAAATAAGTCAATTAAAGAAAGGGAGGAATGTTACCACAAGATATTGGACATAGTGTATTACCTAGCAACTTTTAGTGAGATGGCATGGCTACATCTATACTGGTAAACAGAAAGGACCTAGAACTGCTGTTTTGACCCAAGACCAACAAGCTCACTTCTGTACAACCAAACTCTGTGTCTCTGTAAAGCAGGATAGCTACACCCATATTGCTTATAGAGAATGATCTGGACCCATGCTGAGCCCCAAATCATGTCTGAGAATTGCCTGGGAGAGTTTCAGTGGCCCAGGGTCAGTACCATGCCAGGGGACATGCTAACAATTTAATAGTGTAGGCATCTGCACTCTGATGCTTGGGCCTGTGCTCTCATCCCATTTCATTTTCTAGTTTAAATGCAGTTGACCATTTTCCTTTTTAAAGCAAGCTGCTGTTTATTCCAACTTGCATAGTGCACACCAAAGTACCATAGTTCCCTGTGTACAAACTAAACCTCAGAAAGCCTGTGCCACTTAAAAATAGTTTTCTTCAAAAATAATAATATCATAATCTGTAAGAAGACAGAGGCAGGAGGAACAGAGTCTGAGGGATTTAGAATAAGAGGAAGCAGGCTCTGGGGCAAGGGGGCAGTTCAGGAACAGGTTGGCTCATTGCTCCCCATACAACCTGGGCTGCAGAAAGTGAAGGGGAGACGACAGGAGTTTACAGATATCCCTAGCTTATCCGTGAGACTAGTTGTACCCACTGTGTGAGAATAATCAGGTTTTGCATCTGACTAAATAGTTAATAGAAATGCCTCAGAAAGCAATACTTTTTTTAGTAGGTGTACAGATGGGTATGCTTGTAGATGATGACATTTTCATAACAAAATCTGAACGAAGAATTTCTGCCTTGACTAATGATTTAATGCTTTCTACATATTAAATCAATTTAATTATCACCTACTTATTGGTATTTTGGTGCATCATCTTCTTGCAATAGATCTTTCTATTCTGGCACTATGATTTATTAGAAAATTCTAAGACCTTTCAGGTCCTCTAAACAGACATTTCCAACAGACAGCTTCTGAAGTTATGATTAATTCATTTTTCCTCTGACAGCAGATTCACCAAGAAAACATATGTCAAAGATGAGCCTTTGCTTTAATTTTTTTTATCCTGTAATAATGAGAAGCTATTACAAAGTAAACAAATTATTTCATTTTTATATCAGTTTAATTCCTTATATATAAAGATAAAAGACAACAAGGGAAATTCAACACCGCTATATGCTGATATATCTTCTTGCATACATTGAATGGGTGTGTGGAACTGCAAAGAGTTATGGCAGAGTTAAATCTGCCTTCATGTGTACTTGCTGTTGAGCAGCCATTTTAAATACAGATGATGCCTAGGCATCTTGGCAGCCATTTAGGAGAGAATTTTGTCATTCCTTTCCTTCTGAAACTGAAAGGGTTGTAAGTGATAGTATCAAATGCAAACAAAGATGCTAACTCAGATGCAAGCAGAGGTAAATGCTAATTTTCAGTGTGGGAAAATGAACGTCTTGTGAACGTGCTGTGGGGTCTTTCATACTTAACAGCTGCAGATTTAGGCTACTGGTTTGCTGCCCTTCTAAAGACCGTGCATTTTGCCAGCCTCACCACCTCAGAAATGGCCTCGACAGATATCATGACCTGAACAGTGTGAGGCTGTCTCTGTGTAATTGTGACAGGTTTTCTGGGGACACTGGTGGTTTTAAGCAAAGAAGACATTACTCTGTCAGTGTCAGTGCCCCCATGCCCGCAGGCAGCCAAGGACCCGGGGCTGCCGGAGGCCTTTTGGAAGAGAAACGAGTGAATTATGTGGTCAGTATAGACATGGTGGCATTTCAAAAGGTTGAATGTGTTAAATCCCAATGGACCGGACAAATTCCAGATCATTCAGTTTTGCAGAATTACTTTTTATATCTTTATGTGTACTGAGTATGCTGCAGAATCAAATGAAAGCTTGGTTCAGCACTCATTCGCAAAAATACAAGAACATAAGAATTTACTGACGAAAGTAGGTAACACCATCCAGCTCATGGTCTGGTCCTACAGCACCCAGGAGACAGCGCCCAGGGAAAGGCTTTAAAAAATGAGCTGACATGCAGTGATTCTCCCCTGCTAACCTTGCCAGCTTTTAGGTTTCTTGTTTGCGACACTTTGCCTTCTGCATCCTCACTGTCTTGCCTGTTTTCTGGTTAAATAGATGACCAAATACATAAACAGCTTCCTGAAATAGTGAAGTCAGGGCATAGCTACACCAAGCATAGTGCTGGTAGAGGTGTGAGCTGATGAATGCTCATGTAGTTAAATGTAGTTCTAAATTTGACCTTAAATCCCTTTGAAAGTGTGATTTAATCTCCTACATCATGTAAGTGCTTTTAAAATGTTTACATCTTCTCCTTTATAATGTTATTTGTACATCTGACGTTTAACTGTGCATTACAAAAATTGTTATTGTGATCTTTCATTTTTACAGCATGTAAAGGTATGGCACATTCCCAATCTCTATGTTATTTACATTTTGACTTGAAACTGTTTGTTGCTTTTACTAGGAATACATTTAAACTGGGAATTTGTGTATTGACTAGTTATAGCCAATTGTAAAACTACAGGGACTTGGTGAAGCAAGCAAATATCCAGGCTCAAAAGTATTACTATGCATGGGACTAAAAAGCCTTTACTAACAAAAGAGAGGTGGGCTACACTATTATTCTTTGATTAAACAGTGGATAGCTATTTACAAAATATGGTGCAGCTCATCTCTACTGATTTATAGTTCTCAGATAGCCACAGGGGAATTGCTAATTACACAGCATTCATAAAATTACCTCTACAGTGGTACCATCGTAATTCATTTTGGGGTTACCAACAATACCCGAATTAGTAAATGTGACGCTTTCTTTGGCCCTTGGTAAGGATCACAGTTATAGTTTAGGCAGTTAAGGTAACAGCTTTCATACATAAATTTCTCTTTCCATTCTTCTGGCTTGACATAGTTATGTACAATGTGTTGCGATTTAAAAACAAGCCAAGCTTTATTCTGAAATGTACTAATAAGGCTGGTGCATATTAGATGAAAGAGGTACTTTTTCCCTCTGATTAAAGCTGGTAAAGCTTCAGCTGGGAGAGGAGGTAAAGAACTGGGTCCAATTTTGCATTTCAAGAAGGAAGGAAGGAAGTCTGGAAGAGATTGACAGGAACAATCAGGAAATATAATTTGTGGGGAAAACAATGCAGGAATAGAATTTGAGTCCATGAAAGGTAAGGTTGTGAGGAGAAGAGTTAAGTCATTCAGAATGTAAAGCAGCAGAAACTTATGAATGTTGAATTGCTTCCCTGGGCTAACAGAGAAGGTAGAAAAACTGGGTTCATTTTCTACAAAGATTTTGCTAGATATTAAGCAAAAACCTTCCTACCTATTTGGGTAGTGAGCCATGCTGAAACCGAGAAATGTTATTCATTGGTGATAAACAGAATGAGTTAGACCAACCCATGTCTATGTACCGCACTCGATCCTATTTCAGTATTGAGAGAGGGAAGAGAGGTCTGTTGAGGTCCCTTCTAGCCCTTCAGTTGTTTGCTTTAAAGAACAAAACCTTCTCTTTACATACCTTCGATGTGAAGCATAATTTCCAGTAATATGCCCAGAGCCATCACACCCAGGGGTGGGACACCTAGAATAATAATGGAAGAGATATGGACCAGTGTTACTGACAGAAAAGATATAACTGCCCATTAAAAAATATTCATTGGCTCAGTCCTTGTTTCCACAGGTGCCAGCCCTGGGGACCTCTAGCCATTGCTAAACCTGAGCTTAATTCCACACTGGGGAGAAACATACTTTTTTCATTCATAAAATGTTTTTGTTTGCTACTCCTCACCTGCCCACTCAAACGCTTTCTGGATATCTCTAGTATCAGCAGATTAGTGGAGATTTCCAGCAGCAGCCTGACATCCCCGCACCACCAGGAATGAGTAGGGTTGACAGGAAATGGAATATCCCCATGCTATGTTCTTAGGTAATGGCTACCATTACAGCAAGCCGTTTTGTTTTCCATCAGAGCTATTGCTCTAATCCCACTGCATAGTGTCATGAGGTCGCACCATGGAGATACCCCTCCACCTCTCCATGAAGCGAAGGGGATGCTTAAGGAAAAGGAAATGTGTAGACGGGGCAGTAACGCTGGCCTCTTGCGGAGAAATGGTAACCCATCCAAGCACCCCCAAACACCAAGCTACAGCACCAGATAGAGAAGTCAACTGATACAGCCATCAGTGGAATTTCTAATAGCTGAACGACATTAGAGTCATCAAAGAAAACGGGTGGTTTTTTCTATATTGCAAAGATGATTGCGATCACAACAGAATAAGCTAAATTATAATGCTAAGTAAAATCATTAGCTGGTATTTGAACTGCTACACTGAATCACAGAAAAGACAAAGGAAGAATTAATTCATATTCATTTTACTGAACAGACAAATGCTACATGAATTCCAAAAAGCCACTTTTCTTGAGCCTGAGTTTTGAATTTTAGCCATGCTTTAAAGCTTCATTGGAAGAAAGCATTCAAATTCAAAAAAGCATGCGCACAAATTCAGATGTTGCATTCTGAAACATCCGATTTCCGTAACATTGAATTCTTTCACTATCTGAATCCAGAGTTCATGCAGACTTTGGCTTTCACCCTTTAGTTACATGTGTGCTTTCCTCAAAGTTGGTCCATACTGGTAAACTTTTGTTTCACTAAGTTTTCTGCAGAGACTTGAAAGTTTCTTAAAATCAGGAATTAAGCAACCCAGAATTCAGTGCAATGGGGCTGTCACATTCCATTAAGCTGAATTTTAGCCCCTTAAAGCTAGTAAGCATTACATACTTCTGAGGAGCTCAGCAGGGCCGAACTTCAAACATCATTAATGCAACCTTGAAAGAGATAAATTAAACTGGAATTTGTTAAATGGAGTTCTCATATGGTCTTCCTCTGGACCAGTTCAGTTTATTCATTAGAAAACATTAAAATATGGTAGCACTTCCAGGATGTAAGCTGGTAAAACCTCTGGGGTTCACTACATCACTGAAGTTTCTTTTCTGTATAACAAACAGCCTGTGTGCTTTGGACAAGAAGTCTAAACAACATCCTTAAAGACAATTCTCCTTTTCTCTTGCTTTACATCTTTGCACAGGACCAAGTATAAGACCATGATTTTGACTAGAAGGTGTGAGTGTTACTGTGACTCTTAATATCTTAAAGACCAATATACAGGTTGACATCACACATTAATCTTTCTGCTTGTAGAAAGATATAAAACCTGATTTTTGCATAGTTTCTTCTGACACAAATTAGGTAAAAATACGGCCCTCGGTGAAGAAGTCATATCTCAGTCTGTATGGCCCTTACCATTCATTCTTTGCTGTGGCTGCACATGGCTAGCACAAACTTTGCCTATTACTTTAAGTTAAAAAATAAATGGTTAGGGTATCTTATATAAAGGGTCTTATATTTTAAATACTTCATATCTAAATATTTAGATGTTCTCACTATTTATTTTTATTTTTTGGCAAATGTTTTGAGATCTGCAGAGAGACAATCTCTTGCTTCATATGTTTTTTTAATGCTAGGTATCTTCAGGGATCTACAGTGCTTATTTCCTACTTCCATGAAGACCAACTGCATCACTAAAGCCTGACTGAAGCCTCTAAAGATGTTCAATCAAAAGATATGGGAATAAGAATTAATTAAAGGAATTGACTAAACTTTGGCTCTAAATGTCCATGGCATTTAAATGAATAAAGGAGAACAAAGAGCCAGGAGACTGTTCCTCTGCAGTCTGTCTGAGGTACTACAAGGATTCCTTCTTTATGAACCCATGCTATCTGAAGCCACCGTTTTCCTCCACAGGCTTTTCAATCCTTTTCAGAATAAGCTATTATTAAAACTCCACAATGGTTTTTCTCATCTTTTCCAAGACTTTTGTTACAGGCAGGCATGATTAATAGGGTCTTAATAAACAGGATTTATAAGATGCACCAGTATATCCAATCAATCAGTCTTAAAATTAGTCCATTACACCTCAACCATTTGGACAGTCTTACACAATTTAAAAACTAGCTTATCTCTGTGTCATTTAAAAAAAAAAATCTTAAGCAACTGAAGCTAAAGAAGAAATCACCCTGCTGTAAATTGAACTGAGAATCTTCACAAAGGGCTCTGTACAGTTCACATCAGTTTAAAATCATACTTTTGATTAAACCAGAAGAGATTTTTTATGTAGGCAAGGATTTTAGAAAGACCTTTCAGATTTTGATTTTGGCACTGCAATATTTGTTTTCAAGTCTCATAAGCTTATATTGACCTAAATGTAACAGCTGAAATGAGAGTTTAGTGCAGTTGATAAGAACGTTTTAAAACCCTGGAACATTTCTATTTACTGCTGTTTCCATTCTATGGGAAGTGCTTATAAACACTGTGAAATATTGGATGCAGATATACAGCAGTCTGTTTCAACTATAAAGTTATTACAATATTTATTTGCTATCTTAAGCAGTTTAGGTAAGGAGACAATTACAAGTCCCTGTACCATTGGAATTGTGAGTCTGTATTTTCAGAATGTCTGATCATACATAGGACTTGCATATACCCTACTACTTTACTGTCAACTACCTATACGTATTTGACTTAACTGATTGTATGTGCATGCAACAATGCCAGAAAAATGTATGTACAGGTACTTATAAGAGGCAAGTGATGTGAAAACCTTTGAAAATGAGTATCAGAGTAAGTGGGAAAAGAGATACACAGTTTCCTCACGTACTTAAAGTGAATGTGATTTGGCAGGACCAGAAGCTTATTTGTAGACTCTCCGTAATAGCTTATTGCAGCGAAAGAAATGCTTTAGTACTGTAAGGAGTGAGGTGACAAAAAGAACTTACTCTGTAAAGACTGAGGTTCAGAACATATAACACTAGCACTTTACACAAATTCAGGGCATCCAGCAAAATAAAAGAGCTTGTCAGTGAAGGGGAATGCAGTTAGCACCGCCTTGATGTCCCATTCATTTCACAGAACATCCCCGAGAAGCTTTTTTGGGAACATAAGCGTAAGCAGAAAGCAGGGCAGGCAGCAGAACAGCAACAGCTGTGGCAGCTGGATTCAGTATTGGGCTTAGATTTAATAGCAGGAATGAAAAAAAAGGCGAGAGCCAAATGGAGATAAATATACTTAAGCCCTACTACCCATTCTTCACTGGGAAAAGGTCTGAAGGTGTGCAGCAATTAAAAAAGACTTTTGGCAGCTTGAAGGAACTTCCTGGGACTGGAGAAGAAGTGGCTGCAATGCCCAAATGGGCTCTGGGAGGGTTTTTCCAAATGCCAATGGTTAAAAGTCTAGCTGCAAACTCAGCTTGGAAGAAAAACCAGCTCACATCAGCATAGCAGACTACAAATAAGATACACATTTAAACCTATATTCCCAGGCTTTTATCTAGGTCTACAGGAGCTACATAAGCTTACATGTAGCTTACATATTTAGATAATATATAGCTCAGCTAGTGTGAGACCAAATAGGATGTTACACAAAGGTGCAAAGACAGAACTGAAGTAGTTTTGTCCTCATTATTGTGTACACTTTTGGTTGACTTACTTTTAAAATTTATTTCAAAACATAAATTATCTCTAAAACATACCAATAAAACAAAGATATAGTAACCTGCATTTTATATATATATATAAAAAATATAAAAATAAATATATACATATT